GATACCGCTATATCATACATAAAATTATATTAAAACATCAAAAATTAACATTCCGCTTTCAACAATATTAATATTAAATTTCGTGATCCGACTGACCAAATAATATCTTTAAATTAATTAATCTTTATGCAAGGTATTGGTTGAGATAAAAAAATGAAAAATTTGAAAAATGGCAAAAAGGAGGGAAAATTCGAAAGGTTGCGTTGGGTGGGAAGTTAGTGTCCGAGCGATAGCTCAAGTGGTAGGTATTTAGCCGAAGGTCGTAGGTTCGAATCCCGCTCGTGACACTGACTTTTTTTAATCTCAATCGATACCTTACATAAAGATTAATTAATTTAAATATTAATATTACTTAGAACAAATCTTGTAATTATTTTAGAATATCAATCATAGTATATTCATCGTTATATCGATAGATACAAACAAATGAAAGAAATGTTAAATTGAAAGCACTTAAAAAATACTTTATTTTATAAAATAAATACTATGTTGGTAAATCAACATAAACCAATATGTAAAATACTGTTCCATCTTAAAGGGCACTATGAAATTCATATACAAGCGAAATTCATAATATAAAACCACTCCAGCATGTAAAGCGAATAACAGGTCTGTATAAATCATAAACCAATGTAAAGGATCAGTAATCTAATAAAGTTTGTAAAGAAAAAGAAATTAATATACATAACCAAACCAAAGTATACAATCCATTTCAGCATAAAAAACTAATTTAGTCCACAACCGCAAAAACAAACCCACCTAAAAAACAATAAAGTTAGTGGAGAAAGAAAAACCAATGCAAAAAATTCGCCACCGTATATAAAAAAACCACTCAAGTATGATCAAAGATAAGATAAAAACATAAACTAAAAAAAATGTAAAAACCGGACTTATAATTCTTAAACAAAGTAAAACCAAAGTACTAACAACTAAGGTTGTAAAACTAGTTGTATAAGCGTTTGTCAGATTATAGAGATTTTTATACGACTGTAAAAAATAAATAATTACAACAATTTTACTAAATTTACAAAAAAAATTCCAAACTTTTCCTCAAATCAACGGTGAAAATACATGGATCGTTTCAAAGAAAATCTTCGAAACTCCATAATTTTCTTTAACAGGAAGTCCAATTATAAATTGCGAGATTTCTCTGCGGGGTGATGAACCCGTGAATTGATCATTTTCGTATGTGCTGATCTTTCAGACGCGTTTCGGCATTTTGCCCTCTTCACTATAACAAAAATGTTTACGAGTTTAACATTGATATTTATTACTATAAAGTGATATTTTTTAAATAGCATTCTCAGATACTGTTTTTTCACTTTCGGCTTTAGTGCTGTTTATGTTTGTTCGATCTAATTATAAATTGATTTATAACAGAACTAATGCAATAAATAATGCAAACTATTTTGGATTTATTGTAATATTTGACCATCGACAATTTTCGGGCGTGAGCAAACAATGAACGGCAAAATGCGAAAAAGTTTCTGACGTACTTTTTCTACAGGAAGGATAGTCAGACAAAAAGATCGGTAACGGCCAAATTTTAAGTCAAATATAAGTAGCCGAAATGATTAAAAAAAATCAAATTCTATGAATTTTAAAATCGATCTCAAGTCGAGCTTCTTAACTAATTAAGAGGATAGTTAAAAAGTTGGGTTAGGTCGATAAATTTAAAGTCGACCTTTAATGTATCAGGACTATCTCCTCCTTGGTCAATCAAATTTTTGAAGTTTTCCTAACAATATTCATATAAAATATATGTTATGTATCCCGATACTTTATTTTAGTTATTTTTTAAATTTAATTTAATTTTTTTTACGAGGGTTCGCAACAACAGAGGTATATAAACCCTCAGGGTGCCCGGGTTTTGGGGGAAAAAAAGCCCATTTTCAAATCGGTTCGGTGAATTTCACGGATAATTATTAACTAAGTGATTGAGTGAGTGGTTTTATATCAAAACTGACGTGTACGATAAAAATATAATTTGTTATAATTAATTAATTCTTTGAAACCATGTTTCTGGTTATTCAAATAGGAATAGTTCAAGATGGATAATCAAAGTTGTTTTTAATTGTTGGCTAATTCTGAAGATAATAAGACGGCGAAGTAACTTTGAAGTACATATTTTGATTATTCTAAACCTTCGTCAGAGTTGATTCCGATTCTACGTATGAAAACCACTTCGACTTCAACTGTCAACCACGTGACATCAAACGCTCACCATTGTTTAACGCCGTTCTTTGCTTTTTGCTTACCTTTTCGTTTCGTTTTCATTTCGATGGATTGCGAAAAATTGATAAATGCGGTTGAGGAGCAGGCTCTTGGGACATGCGTGATCCACTCTATCACCGGAGAGATGTCCAGCGTAAGCTGTGATCAAGGATAGCTTTAGAAATGGAACTTCCAATATTTTTGTTTATTTCTTTCAATCCATTTGTATGTAAACTAAGAATTTTCGAGCAGCAACAAATCTTCTACATCCATTTGGGCTGTGTCGTGAACTGACGAAAATCGGCTACAGTGAACGACGGCGTTCGGCTATATTGCCGGTCAAATAGTTCGGCTGTTGAACTGCCTTCGTAGTTCGATTCCAATGGCGAGCAGCCATCTACAGATTCTTGCTAACCAAGGTGATAAATTTGGTAACTGAAAGCGAAAGTTCAACTTAAAAGTAGTAATGGGGACGACGGTGGCCGCAACTGTTTAGGCATTAACACGGCGCTCATTATTGTAATGTAAAGGTCCCGTGTTCGAATCCAGCGGCCCTGCATTCGAATCCGGGATCTTTACCTTACAGTGATGAGCGCCGTGTCAACGCGCCTAAACCGTTGTGCCCCCCCCCCCCCAATACATTATTGATTAAGTAATCAGTATTTTCACCAAAATAAAAATTCTAATTAATTTAGATATAGATATTAATATTAACATTTCAATATTTATGCTATATAATGCACAAATTAAATAAATTTTATAATTAATAAATTAAATATATCTATTAATATATAACATTTCAATATTTATGCTATATAATGCACAAATTAAATACATTTTATAATCAATAAATTAAATATATCTATTAATATTTAACATTTCAATATTTATGCTATGATGCACAAATTAAATAAATTTTATAATTAATAAATTAAATGTATGTGTATTAATAATTAACATTTCAATATTTATGCTATAATGCACATTTTATAATTAATAAGCTAGATATTAACTAATTAAGAATTAACATTTACAATATTATATAAATTACACATATTAATTAAGGGTAATTGATATATGTATTATTTGTAGAAATCAATAAATAATCATCATACATACACATATATAACTTTTATAATAATAATAATAATAATAATTACATTTAATATATTTTCATTTTACCCAATAATGTATAAGAAATGGAAAAATCTGAGATATAGAATTCCAAATAACGACACATATGATCTTTATTGTCATATTAATTAACGTGCTGATCTTTAAAGTAAATCTATTAACAGCCCGTGATTAGAAAGATTTGCATCATCATCATGATAAAAGATTCCAGCGTACCTTAAGTAAAATGATTTTCCCTTAGTGTTATGGCTCTTATACAATATAGCAATTTAACTAGTCATCCAAATATATCTGAATATAAATAGATTTCTTATATTACGATTCGACACACAAAAGTGAGGATTCGTTGATTTGAATTCGTCACAAAAAGTGTGGAATTGAAGGGGCCCCGACAGACGCTGTAATTAACTTCATGGCGGCGTGGGCACCAGTGTGATTCCAGTTAAAGATAACGGTTGAATTTTCCTAATTTATACCAATATCTGAAACTCTAATAAAAACCCTTGTTTTTTTACAACGCTGAATAGGAAATGCAATAATTAAAACAATTTTACCGAAGGGCAGTAGTTTTTTTTCGCTCGCCGGCTTTGTGATAAACGGAATGGAATGTTTGGCCGTTTCCGAAAACTGTTTTGTTAGTACACACCTCGACTTTTATCGTCTGATAATAATGATAATGGTGAAAAAATAAAAAAATACCAGAATTCCTTAGAACGAAGAATCGAGACTACTTAAAAACGAAAAAATCTTCCTTTCCTTTCAACTTTGTTTTAAATTATTAGAAACGAACTATAAAACTTACGCTCTAACTGCCAACACCTGAAGGACATAACAACTTTTAAGTACTATAAAAACAAACTTGTGAGATTTTCTCCTGGGTTCTGCGAGGTGAAAAAAACCCTCGTCTGGCCGACTATGGACTCCTGGATAAATTATCAACGAAGTTCGACTCAATGGAAGAAGTAGAATAGTGAGCAATATTGAGTGGGCTAATAAACTTCTGGGCAAATAAAAACTAAAGATAGCACTAAATTATGTGATTATATGAAATTTGTCGAAAAATAATTTATCAAAAATTTCGACTATATACCTTGTTTTCTGATCTATAAATTTTTTTTGTACATCTAGCATTTTTTAAATAATTTTTTTTTATCTTGAAACAACGATAACGCGCTCGGGCTGAAATAAATAAATAAACAGCCGGTCAAATGGGGAAAAATATTTTAGGTGTAAAATGTTTAACCCATTTATTACATTTTTAATTCGCATTAAAAATATATGCATAATGAAAGAAGAAGGAGGGGGAGAGAGAGAGAGAGAGAGAGAGAGAGAGAGAGAGAGAGAGAGAGAGAGAGAAGGAGGGGGAGAGAGAGAGACCGAGAGAGAGAGAGAGAGAGAGAGAGAGAGAAAGAACACCTAGTAATTTTAATTAATCTTGCTTTTAAGGGAGATTAATTTTATTTCAGTGTGGCTCGTCCGTAAAATTACTCCCCTAATTCAAGATTACAAAGCCAGAGCTTAGCATCTTTTACTTCCTCTCTCTCTTATTCATAACTTCGAATTTTTTAATGGAAATCGACGCTAAATTTAATATAACGTAAGAAAATTATTTTTCGTCTGAGAAATAAATTCAAAGTGTAATTGCTACTCACGTTTTTATGGTTGACAAGTTTCATGAGCTTGAACTCCCTGTAGGCCCTCTTGGCGTGGGTAACATTTTGGAACGGCCGCGAAAGTTTCTTAATCGCCACGTTCTGGTTTGTCACCGTGTCGTAAGCAGCGCTGGAACAGACAAAATAATTAATTAAAGTAATTTATTTAATTTTAAGATTTGAAGGAAGGGTTGAGGCATGCTACAGAACATGGTGAACCTATATAAAATCGTCTGTACATGGCCAAGTAGTGAATCAAGAAATTTTAATTTTTACAGAAATACGAATTTTACACTTCTCTTTTTCAGAAAAAATATTAATTAAAACGGTTTATAATTAAAGGTAAAAGTTATATTTGTTCTAATTAAAAATTCCTTTCTACTTAAAACTAAACGGTATTCAATGAGAAACAAAGTTTTTTTTTTCATTTCATCATTTCTGATCATGGGTGTTCAGGAATGATATAAAGTTGATAAAAATAAATCGATACGCTTAGTCTTTTTTAGCAGTCTGGTTTTCGTAAAATAAAAGTCGAAGTGCCAATTTTTTGTGTTCGTCCACATTCCCTGTTTTTACCAGTTTCAATTGTATATCAACTTGTATTCTCATTCATCACTCTAACTTTCATTCAAAAACCAATCTGAGGAAAATCCTAGAAAGACGAAAACCTAATTAGAGATTTAGTCCATGTTGAAAACGTACAATTAGTACTGGACAACGTTAAAGTACGACCTTGAACACGTGAAAGGTTTAATGTATAATTAAATTAACATGGTCATAGCTTTATGTATTGATGTATGATAAATCGAAAATTAGCTCAAATTAGCTTACACTCGAATTCACAGCACCATCTGAAATGCATACGACAAAACCTCAATCCATAACTACATCCAGTAGAACCACCCGTAAAAGAAAACGTAAAAACCACACACTCAAAAAACCCTATCCTAAATGGGAGAAGAGAAATATTCACGGGAATCCTATGAATTTCCACACGGAAACGTGTGACAAAATCAGGCCAAAAACCAATGTTTCAGATCAGAAGAAAAACAGATGGATATTTTTTTCAGCATGGTGATCAAGGGAGATGTGACCAGGGCGGTAAATGCCAGTAACGCCAAAAACAGTTCTATTTGGGAGGTTTTCCGATGTACCACGGCGTGTAATGTCGGTTTAAATTTTTAAAAATTATTGTAATTTTGCTTTATACACTATAGGGTTAAATGTTAGTCAAGTTTAAAAATATACTAGACTATGAAAATGACGTAAAATTTTTTTTGATAAATAAATTTCACGTTCTATATTCCAAGATTGACCTCGATATTAAATTAATTTAACCATGAGAGATTTTATAAATAATTGAAGGATAATTGAAAGAAAATTACAGGAATCAATTGAAATTTATTACAATTAAGCATAAAGATTTTTTTAATACAAATTGGTAGTTATATTCCTTATCTCACTATTCATCTGCATTCTTTCAGGTCTTTGTGCTATTTATTTAATATTTTACAAACATTCCTTACCAGATATCAACGTAACAGGCAGAAAATTCTAGGCCACTAATTTGAAATTTTTTTTATAAAAATTACCTAAACGTTTCTATTAAGTGTTGAACAAATAGCAATATCGCATCTCTGTATGCTTGGCAAACAGATATCCTAGAGTGTCAACGTCCAGAAAAAGTGTTAAGGATGTGAGGGAGGAGTGATAAAAATATATCCAGAAATACTAGGTTTGAAAAAATTGGAGAAGTAGTTTAAAAAGGGTTCAAGTGGGAAAATAAGACTAAAAATATAATCTTTGCCCTTGTACTCGTATGTTGAATGGAAATAATTTGGATTTATGCCGCTTTATTTAACTTCGATGAATTGGTGGGAAAAAAAAGAGGTCGAGAGCGAAATTCATTTAAGGTGGCCTTATATCAAGAGTAACGATGTCAGTTTAGAATAATTCGCTGGGGCCCCTCAAGGCTAAATTAGGTTTTACGATCAATTTTACTAGTGCCTCGTTCAGTCCATAACCTCTCATGATTTTAAGCCTTTTCCCTTTATCCAATTTCGTCTCATAAATACGAATTTGAACTCAATAATCGAAAACACAAGCAAGTTTGAAAAAGCCTTGAAAAGTCAGGTCATTGCCTAGTTCACGTAAAACACGGATCAAGCCGATAGGAAAAAAAATCCAATGCCCTTTATAAATTATTATTATTTATTTAAACATATCGGGCACACAGACCCGAGATATTTGAACCATGATATTTCATGTAAAGCCTATCGCACACAAATTGCCCCCTGGCATTTTCCAAAGCGCTGATGTTTTGTTCAACCTTTTGATTAATTACGCTTCGCTATTACTTTATAATTACTGCATTAATAACGTAAACAACAAAAACAAGAAAACGCACTGATGATTTACAATTGTATATCTGTGCTATTTGATTCGTAAACTGTGTGTGTGAAATAAGCAACTTTCAACTTTTGTCCGAGATAATCAACTGAGGTCACGCTTGTTGATAATTTTATCATAAATTATTTCAATGGTAAAATCTTGTAATGATCTTTTAATTGATAGTTAAAAGTTAGGCTTTACTGTTATAATTATAAAATGTAAAAAATATATTTAATATATATATCTAAAAAATATATAATATAAAATTACATATATTTAGTAGTCATAATTATACTTTTTAATCTTTTTTTTAAATATTTTTTTATTGGCCTTATGATCTTGCATATTAGCCATAGTACGAATTCTTGAGTGTTCAAATTGGGGGTTATCGGGAAAAAAGGGCCAGAGGCGACGGTGGGAATCGAACCCACGACCGCGGCGTGAGAGTCTCTCATGCTAACCACTCGGCTACCGCGGTCCCCAAATCTAAAGTCTTGGGTGAAATGAAAAATTAGTTTCACGAGCGGGATTCGAACCTACGACCTTTGGCTTAATCTGATCTTTCACTCGTACTTTTCAGCCGGCAGCCATTCTAGCGTCTAGATCTATTACCGATTCTCTCCTTTTATACGAAAACTAAGTCGACTTCCTCAAAATGCTAGCCTCTTATTTGTACCTCAGGTTATCAACTACAGAATAGAATGTACAATACATATCATTACTACAAACATAGAAATCTGGTCAGATTCATTGCCCCAGAGTACTCGATAATCCTGGGGGCGGAGTTAAGCAACCTCATCCTTTCTCGCTAATAAATTACATTCACTCTAATAAATTAACATAAGCACTGAATATATTTAAAAATCTCGATAGCCCTGAAGTACCGGAACCCACTGCCGTGCTCCAGTGCACAGATCCGATTATGTGCCCAAATATTGTCTGTATGGCAAATAGGAGGAAAATTTGAAAGGTTGTAGGTTGTGATGGTGGCCGAATGGATCGAAGTCACGATAGCTCAAGTGGTTAGAGCAGCGGTGTATTCGGCCGAAGGTCGTGGGTTCGAATTCCGCTCATGATTCTAACTTTTTCATTTCAACCAAGATAAAAAGAATAATTAATTGTCTGTACAGTTGAAGCCTTTTACAATTGAAAAGTCCCGACTGTTGTTATATCCTTGCATAATTTTATGATCGGAAAGAGACTGCGTAGGCACCCATGTATTTTCTTGTATGACCTATGCGTTCTCTTGTCAGTAAGACCTTTTCCCTTTTCACCCCGTCCCCACGGGTCAGGGACAGCCGTCTTTCTTAAACTGGCACAGTTGGACACGATTATTTCTATTTTTCCGGACGCGCGGTTTCTCCATTCTTCTTTTATAACATTTTAAATTCGCTGGGCGTACAGGAAGCATCGCCCTGCCTGCTTCTTTCCCGTCTACCTATGTGCTCGGGAACTCACGCCAACACGACCTTTTTCCTAACTGTGTCGATCCTTTTTTTTTGTTCTTTTATTTTGTTTTCTAGAGACGTCGACGAAGGGTTTTCTCTTGAGCTTCTGCACAGATCTAATTGAGTCGGTACAAAATAAAAAAGATTTATGGGATAGACTTTTTATAATGCTCAGTGATCTAGTGGATCTAGTGTTAAAGGTCTAAAGTTTGATATTTATCTAAAAATCTTTGTATTAATAGATCTTCCATGATCAATCCAGATCCTCATATTTTCGATGATGAATGACGTTGTAAAAGTAAATTCGAAATGTGTGGTGATTAGTGACCGTTAGTGTATGATTATTTGTAAATCGTGAGATGCGGTGTGATGTGACGTAGGTTTCAGAAAAACATTTTCTTTATCGTGCCAACGTTTCGATCTTCATCGAGATCATCTTCAGGGCCTGGGATTTATAAACATTGTTTAAATTTTACAAATACATGTGGAATGAGGAAAAAAGTAAATTTATACAATGCAAAAAAATATTTTTTATATTCAATCAAAGTATTTCCACTCACTCAAAGTGTTTGTTTTCTGAGTAGAAATACTTTGATCGAATACAAAAAATATTTTTTTGCATCGTATAAATTCACTTTTTTCCACATCTTACATGTATTTGTACAATTTAAACAATGTTTATAAATCCCAGGCCCTGAAGATGATCTCGATGAAGATCGAAACGTTGGCACGATAAAGAAAATGTTTTTCTGAAACCTACGTCACATCAGACCGCATCTCACGATTTCCAAACAATCGTAAATTCTAAATATCTAGTCAGACGCGTTTGTTGACTGCGATGGAAATGTAATAAAAAAGGAAATGAAATAGGAATTGGTTTCTAATCAACGTTCTTTATAGAAATAAATTAATTGCTAAATTTAATATTTTAATTCTTTAAATGGTGCACATTGGCTTTATCGGATTTCACGATTCTATAAATATTTATTATGAGAAGTTTAAAAAGTAAAACGACCCAAAACCCATGGCTATGGAAGGTGTTCATTGCAATTAATTCATGATAGGCCTGAAATACAGCCATAATTGATTTCTGCTTTTACAGGATTAGCCACAGAAACCCCCCCAGCTTCACCACGTTTGACCAAACGGACCCGTTTCGATTTAACACCCGTTTCCAATAAAGCCTCGGAAACTACTATAAAAACGATATTCGGCCGGAAAGCCACGACCATTGTTTATGTTTACACAGTGATTCATCCAAGTTGGAGAATTCAAGTCGCACAACAATAAC